GATATGACATCCACATGAAAAATATGCATATTTGGCTTAGAGATTCAAGTGGAATTCTAATTGCTAAAGTGCATATGGCAAAACAATAGATTATTTTCTCAGAATCTTAAAACAATTGATGCAAAGTGTTTGAAGGCTAATGTGCAAGATGAATCATGGTGTTGGCACGTGCGATTTCGGCACTTGAATTTTGAAGACAAATCAATGATAGAAAAGAACATGGTGCATGGGATACCATCAATCAATCAACCATCCCAATCAATTGTGTGAAGCTTGTCTTCTTAGAAAACATGCAGGGAGGAGTTTTCCGAATGAGTCCATGTCAAGAGCAACCATGCCACTCCAACTTGTTCACACTGATGTGTGTGGACCAATCAATCCATCTTCCTTTGGTAAAAGTAAATACTTTCTACTTTTCATTGATGACTTTAGTAGAAAGACTTGGATTTATTTCTTGAACCAAAAGTCTGAAGCTTCTGCTGTTTTTAAAATTTTTAAAGTACTTGTAGAAAAAGAAAGTGGCTATGAAATAAAAGTTTTAAGGTGCGATAGAGGAGGCGAAATAATATCCTGCCCATGAATAATATCCACGATAAATAATGATGACACAAGAGAGTAACAATGACACCAAATCTTTTAACGGGGTAAAATACAATGCCCGAGAGGAGCAATATATTACCACTATAATATTACAACTTTGTAGTGTCAAAGACTACTACGACTCAAAAGAAATAACACTCTGTATTTTAAATATCTCACCACAATATTACTCTCACTCTATTTTCTCACAGACTATAAAATAGTCTGTGGATTACTCTCACAGCTCTAATACTTCTCTCTTATATTTTGTGTGTTTGATATGAAACTGAATGGTTCTATTTATAAGGGAAGGAGTCGTCTAATTCAGCTAATCAAATTTGACTTTTGCAATTTGCATTGCAAATTGCTAACTTTTCAGCCGCCCATATGCAATTTGAAAATTAAAACATAGACCCACGGCTCATAGCCACAATTTCCTCCAATCATTTTGTTTCTTTTTTTACTTTATTTATTTAGGTAGGTCCCACAAATTTCTCCCTTAATTTTGATTTTTCTTCTTCATCCCAAGACTTGATCTCAATCTCTGAAAATCTTCAAATTTGAGAGGCTTTGTGAAAATATCTGCAGCTTGGTCATGAGATTTCACATACTTGAGCTCGACTTCTTTTATGGTAATGCATTCTCTGATGAAGTGATATCTTGTATCTATATGCTTGCTTCGATCCGGATTCTTCGCGAGTGCCTGTGCAGATTTGTTATCAATACAAATCTCTGTAGCTTCAATTTGTGGCAAATTGAGCTCCTTCAATAATCTTCTTAGCCAAATAGCATGACAGGTACAAGATGTTGATACTACTTATTCGGCTTCACAAGTCGAGAGAGTAACTATGGACTGTTTCTTTGAACTCCAAGAAATAACAGAATCACCCAAGAAAAACGCAAAGCCAGTTGTGCTTTTTTTATCATCAATATCTCCCGCATAATCACTATCACAAAATCTCATAAGGTTCAAATCACTAAAAGAAGAATAAAATAGCCCAAAGTCAATCGTACCTTTTAGGTAACGAAGAATTCTTCTAGCGACCTTCAAGTGAGTGGAGCTAGGAGCTTCCATGAAGCGACTTACTACTCCAACTGCAAAGAGTATATCTAGCCAAGGTATAAGTCAAGTACCTCAAAACTTCCCACAAGACTCCATTTTTCCTCCTTCATCAAACTTGGACAATTTTGTCCCATTCTCCATCGTTGTATTCACGGGGTTGCAATCGAGCATGTTGAACTTCTTCAATATCTCTTTTGTATAGCTGTCTTGAGAGAAGAAAATTCCATCCTCCATCTGCTTCACTTCTAGGCCCAGGTAGTATGACATGAGCCCTACGTCTGTCATCTCGAACTCACGGGACATATCTTTTGTGAGACGGGGTACTGAAAAGACAGCAGACCATTATTCGCCATGGCTCTGATAACAAATCTCTCCCTTAATTTTGATTTTTATTCTTCATCCCAAGACTTGATCTCAATCTCTGAAAATCTTCAAATTTGAGAGGTTTTGTGAAAATATATGCAACTTGGTCATGAGATTTCACATACTTGAGCTCGACTTCTTTTTTTGGCAATGCATTCTCTGATGAAGTGATATCTTGTATCTATATGCTTGCTTCGATCATGATACACTGGATTCTTGGCAAGTGTCTGTGCGGATTTGTTGTCAATACAAATCTTTTTAACTTCAATTTGTGGTAAATTGAGCTCTTTCAATAATCTTCTCAGCCAGATAGCATGACATGTACAAGATGTTGCTGCAATATATTCAGCTTAACAAGTCGAGAGAGTAACAATTGATTGTTTTTTTGAACTCCAAGAAATAACAGAATCACCCAAGAAAAACACAAAACCAGTTGTACTTTTTCTATCATCAATATCTCCCGCATAATCACTATCACAAAATCTCATAAGGTTGAAATCACTAGAAGAAGAAATAAATAACCCAAAGTCAATCGTTTCTTTTAGCTAACGAAGAATTCTTCTAGTGACTTTCAAATGAGTGGAGGTAGGAGTTTCCATGAAGCGGCTTACTACTCCAACTACAAAGAGTATATCTGGCCTGGTACAAGTCAAGTACCTCAAACTTTCCATAAGACTTTTGAAAAATGTAGGATCCACTTTTTCTCCTTATTCAAACTTGGACAATTTTGTCCCACTCTCCATCGGTGTGTTTACGGGGTTGCAATCGAGCATGTTGAATTTCTTCAAAATCTCTTTTGTATAGCTTTCTTGAGAGATAAAAATTTCATCCTCTATCCGCTTCACTTCTAGGCCCAAGTAGTATGACATGAGCCCTACGTCTGTCATCTAGAACTCACGGGACATATCTTTCTTAAAAGCTTCAAACAAACTTGGTTTATTACCCGTAAAAATAAGATCATCAACATAAAGACAAACAAGCAAGATATCTCCATTAGTATGAACTTTAAGGTAAAGAACATATTCATGGAGACAACGAGTAAACCCATTGTCTTGAAAATACTTGTCGATACAACTATTCCATGCTCGTGGGGCTTGCTTTTAATCCATATAAAGCTTTCTTCAACCGCAACATTTTATCTTCATGATTTTTTACTACAAAGTCCAATGGTTATTCAACACAGACTTCTTCTTCAAGATAGCCATTCAAAAAGGCTTGACTTGACGTCTAGTTGATGGATCTTCTACTTTATTTGCGCCGCCAAAGAGATGAGCAAATGAATCGTCTCCATGCGGGTAACAGGTGCATAGACTTCTTCATAGTCAATGTCTTGCCTTTGCTTGTAGCCTTTAGCCACAAGTCGTGCCTTGTATCTCTCCACATCTCTATCAACATTCTTCTTTGTCTTGTATACCCATTTTACTCCAATTGCTCGATGACCCTTGGGAAGGGTTGTTAACTCCCAAGTGTTGTTCTTCACTATTGACTCGATCTCCTTCTCTATGGCTTGTTTCCACCTTTTGTCTGTAAGAGCTTCATCAAAGTTCATTAGTTCACTGTCAGCAAAAAAACAATATAAAAATCAAAATTAGTAACTTTTTATGTGTGCTCATAGAGCTCTTGAATACTCATTGTCCTTTGCGACTGTTCATTTGAACTTTCTTGAGAAGAGGGAGATGCAACATTTGTTGGAGAAGGAGGTGGAGTTGTGTCCTGCACAGGTTCCACGGTCTTTGGTTCTTCTTCATCACCAAAGTATGGAAGAAAATCATATGAAGTTTCTTCCCGAGCTTCCCAATTTCATGCCAATTCTTCATCAAATTCAACATCACGACTCACCACCATCTTGCCGCTACTTGGGTTGTATAGCTTGTAGCCTTTTGAACTCGTATCATAGCCAACAAACACATGCTTGACACTTTGATCGTCAAGCTTCGCTCTCCCTTGATGTGGCACATGAGCATAGGCTATGCTCCCAAAGATTCTCAAGTGCTTGACACTTGGTTTTCTTCCACTCCATGCTTCTTGGGGGGTTTGATCTCTAACATTCCTTGTTGGACACCTGTTGTTCAAATAAACTGCATAAGAAACAGCTTCGGCCCAAAATTCCTTGGGCATACTATTATCTTTCAACATACATCTAGCCATATTAAAAATCGTTCGATTCTTTCTCTCTACAACTCCATTTTGTAGAGGTAAATAAGGTGTCGTTAGAGGGTGACGAATTCCATGAGACTGACATAAGTCATTAAATTCTTTTGAAGTGAATTCGCCTCCTCTATCGGACCTTAAAGCTTTTATTTCATAGCCACTTTCTTTTTCTACAAGTACTTTGAAACTTTTAAAAGCAGCAAAAGCTTCAGATTTTTGGTTCAAGAAATAAACTCAAGTCTTTCTACTAAAGTCATCAATGAAAAGCAGAAAATATTTACTTTTACCAAAGGAAGGTGGATTGATTGGTCCACACACATCAGTGTGAACAAGTTGGAATGGCATGATTGCTCTTGATATGGACTCCTTCGGAAAACTCCTCCTTCATTTTTTTCCCAAGAAGACAAGCTTCACACAATTGATTAGGATGGTTGATTGATGGTATCTCATGCACCATGTTCTTTTCTCTCATTGATTTGAGCGCTTCAAAATTCAAGTAGCCAAATCGCATGTGCCAACACCATGATTCATCTTGCACATTAGCCTTCAAACACTTTGCATCAATTGTTTTAAGATTCAGAGAAAATAATCTATTCTTTGCCATATGCACTTTAGCAATTAGAATTCCACTTGAATCTCTAAGCCAAAGATGCATATTTTTCATGTGGATGTCATATCCCTTTTCAAGAAGTTGGCCCAAACTCAAAATATTACTTTTTAATTTTGGGACATAATAAACATCTTGAATTAACCTGTGACTACCATCTTTACAGGAGATCAGAATCGTACTTATCCCTTCGATTTGAATCTTTGAGGTATCTCCAAAGGACACATTAGCTCTTACCGTTTTATTGATCTCCACAAATTTCTCTTTGCATCCACACATATGATTGCTTGCGCCATTGTCTAAATACCACGAGCTACAATCGTCCATGTCTTCTTCCCTGAGTGCCAGCAACAACGTTGACTCATCTTCTTCTTTCTTGTCGTCAACAGGGTTAGTTTTTTCTTCAACATTGCTACAACATTCCCAAGAGTAATTGCCAAATTTATGACAATTATAACACTCAATTTTTGATTTGTCATACCTTTGTCCATTATTTTCTTGGTAGTAGCCACGTCCTCTTCCTCCTCTTTGTTCACGACCACGACCTCTGAATGTTTGGTAGATTTTAACTTCATTGTTGAAGTTGTTACAGTTACTTCTTCCTCTTCCATGACCACCACGGCCTCGTCCGTTTCCTCGATAACTCTTTTCACCTCCATGGTCCTTAAAAGGATGCCTGAGTTTTAAGAAGTTACTCCAGTGGCACTTCTTGTCTCCTTTTGATCTTTTCTTCGTGGGCCTGTAAAGAACCTTCCAATTGCTTTACCATCATAGAGCCTAAATCTTTAGACTCCTCAATAGCACACACCACAAAATCAAAGTTAGATGTTAAAGTGCGAAGGATCTTTTCTACCACACGGACATCTTCTATGTCCTCCCCGTATCTTCTTAATTGATTCACAACAGCCTTCACTTTTGAACAATAATCCGAAATGCATTCAAATTCTTTCATTTTTAAAACTTCAAAATCAGCCCTTAGAGTTTGAAGTTTTACCTTCTTCACCTTGTCAAATCCTTGAAGAGAATTTTGTAAAATCTCCCTAGCTTCCTTTGAGGTGGTAGCATCTGGCGTCTTCTCAAACATGTCATCATCTAGACATTGGTGGATGAGCATGAGGGCTTGTTGATCCTTCTTCCTTGTCTTTGTCAAGACATTTTTTTCATTTTGAGGCAGAGCTTCCTCGTTATCGGGTTTTGCATACCCTCTATCTAAGATTTTCCACACATCCTGAGAGCCAAGAATGGCTTTCATACGTAGACACAATTTCTCATAATTATCTTTTGTGAGATGGGGTACTGAAAAGACAACGGACAATTATTCACCATGGCTCTGATCCACGTTGTTGGGAAAAATAATATTCCGCCCAGAAATAATATTCACGATAAATAATAATGACACAAGAGCGTAACAATGACACCAAATTTTTTAACGAGGTAAAATACAATACCCGAGAAGAGTAATATAATACCACTATAATATTACAACTTTGTAGTGTCAAAAGACTACTACGACTCAAAAGAAATAACACTATTTATTTTAAATATCTCACCACAGTATTACTCCCGCTCTATTTTCTCACAGACTATAAAATAATCTGTGGATTGCTCTCACAACTCTAATACTAATGGTGTGTTTGAGATGAAACTGAATAGCTCTATTTATAATGGAAGGAACCGTCTCATTCAGCTAATCAAATTTGACTTTTGCAATTTGCATTGCAAATTGCTAACTTTTCAGCCACCCATATGCAATTTGAAAATTAGAACATAGACCCACCGCCCATAGCCACAATTTCCGCCAATCATTTTGTTTCTTTTTTTACTTTATTTATTTAGGTAGGTCCCACAATTACCAGATAGCATCTGTTCATAGAGTCTTCCAGTGACAAATTAGTGTTTATGCCACAAGCCCTGACGTTGCTGAAATCTTTTAGCGGTAAAGAGGTATTGAACAATTAACTATTGACTTATTAAAAAACAAAAAGAAAACTGTTGGATTATGAGAATAAAGGAACAAACCCCAAAGGACATTGGTTTCCCGATTCTGGCATGGACGACGTACGATCCAAGAGCTGAAATACCCGCCTGCTGGCTCCAGCAGCTTTCATTGCTACAGTATATAATCCAGATAGTCCAGATACTGATGATCCAACTGTAAGCATATTCAATTGTTTACGTCAACAAAGGATCTAAGATAGAAAAAGATAAATGCCAAAATATTAGGCAACAAAGATAGAAATTGATAAACGCTTGAACAATTGATCTAAGATAGAAATTGATAAATGCTAAAATATTACTATAAGTTATGGGGCATCCAGAGGT